TCTTCTTCTTCTTCTTCTTCTTCTTCTTCTTCTTCTTCTTCTTCTTCCTCTTCCTCTTCCTCTTCCTCTTCCTCTTCCTCTTCCTCTTCCTCTTCCTCTTCCTCCTCCTCCTCCTCCTCCTCCTCCTCCTCCTCCTCTTCCTCTTCCTCTTCCTCTTCCTCCTCTTCCTCCTCTTCCTCCTCTTCCTCCTTCTTCTTTCTCCTCCTCCTTCTCCTCCTCCTCTTCCTCCTCCTCCTGAATGTTTCCTCCGCTACAGGGCATTGCATGCCAAAACAACTAGACACAAAAATACTTTCCCCCCATGCCATCACTCTGCTAACACCTAATTCCCACAGCACTGTCAAATGCTTAAAGATATTTACCCATGTTGTAGTGCTGTATTACTATTATCCTTACCCATTAGCATGATTATATCACTTTGTTGTTGGTATGTACACTGAGACCTTATGCACCAGAGACAAATGCCTTGTGTGTCTCCAATCATACTTGGCCAATAAAAATATATATGCTATTTTCTGTTCTATTCTATTATCTGGCTGGAGGAAGCCTCTGAGAGGATAGAAACAAAGTGAGAGGCATGAAATACTGAGCCCTGTTAAAAAGCTTTTAATTACTAAAATCCATTCCTTCCTGTCCCCACCCCTTTCTGATTTTTACTGAAATGTTTTCTTTAAATGAAACAAAAGACAATTATAATGGAAGTCAGATAGCAAAGGAACAAAAGTTGCAAGAAAATAAAAAATTGAAAAAAAAGAGGTGATTTTCAACGTTGTACATAACTGTTGTATTTTACCTTGCTGTCAGGATTCCGGCAGTTACCCCAATTAAATCATGAGTCTTGGGCCAAACTTCCAAATCTTCAAAGGATTTATTGGGAGTTATCATGTATTCTGACCCAAACCCTTTTCCAATAAGACAAACAATAACCAAAGGGAACAGAAACCTTTTAATGAGTCTTACAAATCCCTGGTTAAAAGGCTGCTGCAAACTAACTAATTGTGTTTGATAAACACAAACCTTGCAAGGAAACTTCATGCAAGGAAAGCAGCAGAAGCAGCAGAAGTCTTTCTTTCTCTCCCCCAAACTCCGCCAGAAATGAGTCTTTGTGAGACTTGTCATGCCGGCTCAGCCTCTTGGAGCAGGATGCCTTGCAGGGTCCCAAAGACTCATTTCTGGTGGAGTTTGGGGGAGAGAAAGACAGACTTTGGCTGCTTTCCTTGTGTGCAGCCAAAAGCAGAAGGAGAAAGAAGCAGAAAGAAGCAGACCGATGGCCAGGCGAGGCACGTGGGGCGAGGTGGGCGAGTTCCCCCCTGCCCTTTCTCCCCTCCCCTCACTACCTCGTGTTGTTCACAATGCAAGCGACGTAAGCCTTATGTTCCCATGCAGCCTGGATTAATTGCTTTAGGGTCGACATTTCTCTGCGGACCACCAAAATTTTCTCGTGGACCACCAGTGATCCCCAGCCCACTGGTTGGCAACCACTGACCTAAAGCACTCTTCAAATCATATTCCAAATGAAATCGCATTGAAAAGGCACCAGGAAAATCAGTATTATTTCAGTCAAGCTGGAGCTGTGAGCCCACCATCTTCCTAGTCACTTTACCCTGGAGTGGAAGGTTAGAGATTGCTTAGTACACAAAATTGTCTGCTACAATGTCCTACATGTCAGTGACTACTTCAGCTTCAACCGCAATAACACAGGGCAAACAATAGATGCAAACTCAAAGTAAACCACTCCAAACTTGATTTCAGGAAATATAACTTCAGCAACAGAGTGGTCAATGCCTGGAACTCACTACCTGACTCTGCTGTTACATCCTCAAACCCCCAAAACTTTAACCTTAAATTGTCTACCATGGACTTCACTTCATTCCTAAGAGGTCTGTAAAGGGGCGTGCATAAGCACACCAGTGTGCCTACTGACCCTGTCCTTCTGTTCCCATTTATTCATACTCATTTATTATGTATATACTTATACCTGTTCATACTTATACTTGTTTTCTCATACATGCTTGACAAACTGAAATAAATAAATTCATTGTGTCTCATCTTAAACCCCTTCCCCATGGACTAATCCTAGCCAATCATTATTTTTTAAATCCATTTAAAAAGAACTTGGTAAGGAAAGGATCTTACAGACAGTCACAAAAATATGGTTTTATTTTAACTGTTTTTCCCATTCTATCCCCCCTTTCCCTTACCCTTCCCTCTCCTCCCTCATTTGCCCTTCTCTCTTTTCCTCTCGGCCTCTGCCAAGGCCTGTTTGCTTTCTCTTCTGTATATAATTTGTAGATGTGTTGTTTTTAATGGTAAAATTAATAAAGATTTTCAAAAAATAAATAAAAAGAACTTGGTGATGGTATTTTTCTCAGCTCTCCTTACTTAGTTTTGACCAACATAGAATTGAGTACAGTAGAGAAAGTATTATATTATTTCTCGTCATGACCTTGGAGTGATAAAAGAGTTATTTCAAAGAAGTGAAAGAAAGGCAGAAAAGAAAAATGGGAACAATCCAGCATTACATGGTGGTTTTTGAAATGTGGATCTCAGGGGCCAGAGGCAAACACATGACTTCTACAAAACAGTGGTTTATGATTAATTTATTTGCTAAATTTACATCCTTCCTTTTTGTTTATTCAACAAACATTAGGTGCAGAAATGTGACTAGATGACTAACAACAGATTAAAAATAGAAAATACAAACCCCAAGAAGAGATGACTACAACTTTAATTAAAGCAAAAGCAAAATCATTAGACTTAAAATTGAAATCAACTTGGCAATATATATTTAAACGGGCCTATATTTATTGGGTGGATGCCACGTTAATATGGATGTTAAAACAGAATTATGTTTTCAGAATCACCAATCAATTCTCAGAGTAAATGAACTTGCTGAGTGATTGAGAGTGAGGATAAAATACTTAGGGACATCAAAGCAGTTGAAACTGTTTGGAGTATTTTGATTTATGCCTGCAGGGTGAACAAACATCAGGTGCAGAAAAGTGAAGATAAGGAAAATCATTCATTTAGCTCCTCATAGGTAATTACCAAGATTGAAGAAAAGTTTAACCCCTTTAATCCATAAGCTGTTTCATCAAGTCATCTCAACAAGATCTGTTCACAATGACTTGGAAACCTCTGTTACAGTTGAGAAAATGAAAGACTAATTTTCTAATCTCCTCGGCATTACATTTTGACAATACTGGATTTGCCAGAAGAGGTTTCTCTGAATTAATTATCAGGTCCTGGAAGGGCACTATAAAAATATGGTTGTTGTTTTTTTTTAATCACTCTCATGAGTACATCATATTTAGGTATGAACCTGGACCTCTGGTGGCTTTTCATTCTCTTCTTCCTTGAAAACTTTCTGGAGGATAATGTTTGGGTTGTAAGTAGAATGATGTTCCTTCTTTCTCCCTAGTAGAAAATAGATCAGTGGGTTAACACTGCTGTTTAAGCAGGCACATAGGTAGCCATATGTAATTAAATTGACAGACTTGTGCTTGAAAAGAGTCTCATTGAGATAAATGGCAATTGGTGGAATAGAGAAGATGAGGAAGAAAAACAGGGCAAGCAGGGTGATTTTGAGAAGTTTTCCTCGCTTCTGCATTTGTGATTTAAGGTAGCCTTTGATGAAGAGGGCCAGACTGGAGACTACCATGAGTGGGATGCAAATAGAGGTACAGATGAGAATGTGATAGAATGAAGGGAAGCTTTTAGTCAGTTTCGCCCCTAACAGAGCATAATGAATTACACAGAGGAAAAAAGAGATTAGCCATGAAAAGACACAGAGTACGGTGGATAAGTGTAGTGGCTGACGATATCGGTACCAAATTGGGAAGAAGAGAGCCAAACAGCGGTCAATGCTGATGATTGTCAGAAGAAATTGGCCAATGCAATAAGTGCATATGAAACTTTCTGTTATTATTAGGGGAAACAATCTCTTAGTCAGGTACAGAATTCCTATCAGAAATAGGAATAGTAGAGTCCCACTGTCAGCCATGGCCAAATTCAGGATGTAGACAGTGAAAGAATTTCTCTTAATCTTGCACCCCAAAAGTCGGATGACAATTCCATTTCCAATCATTCCTGGAATACAGATTAAAATGATTAAAGAATAGATGACTTTTTTCTGATATTGAGGCTCAGAAATGCTGCTCTTTGAGTAGCTATCTGTCTCATTGGAGCTGAATGCCAAACTTCCCGTTTGAGCATCCGTTATTCCAGAAAAGTATGGAGTTTTCATATTGGTTGCTGTCTCCTGTGGAAATGAATCTTACTTCGATTTTCTTGCTGCTTTGTGTTGAAGGCTAAGGGTGGATCCAGACAGCTAACGGACAAAGCACTCACCCTTCCTTCAGTCAACAGCCATCAAATGACTTTTGCCTCTGTTCTGATTTTTCTAAGAAGGGTGTGGACAATTTCACAGAAAATCTTCAGCAAAAAAATCACTTGGGTTATCCTTCTGGTTACATTGCATTGGTTCTTGCTCAAGAAGGCGGAAATTGTGACATCGGTGTCTGTAGATTATTTTCTCTCATCAGTTTTCAGCCATATAGGTCAATTCATCATCTGGAATCACCTGGTTGCAGAACACATAAAGAATTTGATTCCTACAAAGTAAAGATCTTGTTTCACCTTAATGCCTTTCCATACAAGCAAAGCAGAAACGACTCATGGAGAACAGTTAATTTGGCCAGTTAAAAGAGGAAATCTTTTTCTGTTTTGTGGGTAGTTTACTTTCCTCTGCTTCTTTCCAATAACTGTGTCATATCTAAAGTGGAAAAATAGTCAGATGATCACTTTAATGGCATACAACACAATATGGATCTTTCCACCTTTATTTTAAAGTGTAAATCAAGTGCTGTACAAAGTTATTAATCATAATTCTTATCCTTCTAAAATATTCTCTTTGGGACCACCTATAAGTAACAGAACATTTAATAACATTTTGGTTGGCTTATGCTTGTTCCCAGATAAACATCACAAGAGAAGAAAAAATAGTCCTTTGGAATATTAATTGATAAAGGTTTTCCCTACTAAATATTTCTAATAATGTAGAATCCCACATGGTTGGTGACAATTTAACAAGGATTCTAGGTAGCTACCATCTCACTGAACTAAACTCAAACTAAATTAAACTGCAAGCTAATGAAATGAAATTTAGTATACAATGAGACTTCTCCAAAGCACCTGAGGGCAGGACAAGAAGCAATGGGTGGAAACTAATCAAGGAGAGAAGCAAATTAGAACTAAGGAGAAAATTCCTAACGGTGAGAGCAATGAATCAGTGGAACAAATTGCCTCCAGAAGTTGTAAATGCTCCAACACAACAAGTTTTTAAGAAGATGTTGGATAAACATTTGTCTGAAGTGGTGTTGGGTTTTCTGCCTAAGCAGGGGGTTGGACTAGAAGACCTCCAAGATCCTTTCCAACTCTGCTATTGTAACTTCTAAACAATAGCTGTATACAAACATCAGAGAAGCCACCTTCAAAGCATCTCCTGCCCCAACTCTTTTGTAGAACAGCCCAAATGGAAGGACCTATTTTTGCAATAATGTAAAATGTGTAATTCCTTGACCTGAAAGAGGAATGAATGTAGAGGGGAAAGAGCAGGAGGCAAAAGTAAACAAAAGACAAAAATATTTGATAGATAGGAGACGATTGCAGAAATATCTCTGCTCTCTTTGACCTGAAAAAAACATAATCAAGGAGTACAGCTGCACAACACAAGACATATCCAGAGACGATTCTCCAGAATGAAAATGAGGAGCTTAGAATTGGGTCATGGGGAGTGGGGGAGTCAGTAGAAAAGAGCCAAGAGGGATATCTTCACAAAGTTTCTAGCAAACATTTGAAAGGAAACAATGCTTTTGACAAATAGCCACATCTGTCAAAAAGAGCAAGAGTGGATTTGTGAGTCACTGCAGATTAGGACTTGATAAAGGCTAGGAGACCACATGCTCAAGCCTCAGACTTCACTAAAAGAATATTGGTCCTGTGCTTACAATTCACAGGGTTACACAATGGAAACATTCTAAGGCACAGTATACTGGAGGCATCAGAAACCTCCACATAGTGTCCAAACATATATGAACACTTAGTTGGAGCCATGAGTGCTTTCATGGCAAGTTGGTTGGCATGAAAATACAGGTGACTATATCTAGAAATGGTGTATCTACTCAACCCAACCATTTAACTGTGTTTTTTTTTTAAAAATAACTGGTCATCTGTGATGAATAACCTTTTGTAAAAAATCATACTTTCAAAAAATCTTGTATTTGCAGTTTCTGAGGCTTATTCTGAATTGAGAATTATTATTTTTCATAATAACAGTTACCATGATGAAAGTTTTATCTTTGTTAAGGACATACCTGGTGATGAAGTACAAGAATTCCTCGGGAGGTTAAACTGATCTCTTGGAGAACCCAAGGAAGTTCAGAAAGCTAGATTTCTTTGCCGACTCCAGTTTGGTCTGCCATGTGGCTGTGGTGATCACACAGAATTTATTCAGCATCAGAAATAGATTTCCAGTAAAGAAGAGGAACTTGCTTAACATTTTATTAAGTGTATCTACCAATGTTTTTCAAAGGAAAGACTTAATCATAATTCAAAAGAAAAAACAAAACTCACCCCCTTTTATAACTTCTGTGAGAATGAGAAAGCCCAGGAAAGTGAATCCAAATCCTTTGTTTGCAAACATTAGTTATTTTTGAAATATTTACATGAAAACTCAAGTCAATTTAATGGATAGATGGATGGATAAATACTTTTTGTAATTTTCTATTATTTGTGAGGTTCGTTAGAAGATTGAGCAGGGCTGGTGTTGATATTGATTAGCATATATTCTTGGGGAAATAGAGTTTAAGAAGAATATTTGTAACAAAAGAAGTAAAAACAAACTTTAACTATGGGTTTTTTCCCCAACATACAGAAGGCATCACTTTCTTCACCCTTGAACAATATTCAGAACTACACTTAGTCCAAAATGGACAGCCTAAGTCGTCTTGAGCATTTTTCATTTTGTCCATGTGACACTTCTACTTTGTCAATTGCACTAGTTATCAGTGGGATTGAAGATATACATTCACAGTGTTGGCTGGCCCCAATAAAGGTCTCTATGGCTTAAAACCTGGACACCTAAGGGAGCACCTTTGCTTGCTTTTGTATCACAAGAAAGATCTGGCAAAGTAGGTTCACTCCAGGTCCCATCTATCAACAGTGTCTTTTAGAAGACCTAAATATTTGCCTTCTGTGTGACTGTGTCTACCCTATGAAGATACATCCCTTCTGAAATCTGTCTGGCTCCATCTCTTCTGCATATTCAGAAGTCTTGAAAGATCTCTTTCTCGGGGCCTGTAGCTCTTTCTACATGCCCTGAGAAAGGATGCTTCATGATCAACACTCTGGAATTAGGTTAAAAAAATTGTCTTACCTGTGTTACAGAACTCCAGCTGCTTACAGAATCTGCCCCGTTCATTATTCTGTAAAGAAATGAGTGTCCCCTACCCTTTTCTGCACACAAAACCTCCCTTCCTTTCTTTGCTTCTCTTAATGGTATTACTGGACAGAGTCAGGGACAAATGTCTTCTCTGTTGCTAAATGAAGTTTAGTTGACTCTGATGGTTTCTGAGCTTGGTTGTTTGGAAAACCACATCCCTGCCAATACTGGCAGGGCAAGCTACAGTAGATAAACAGGCATCAACCCCCACACTCAAATTCATTGAAGATGTTATCTTAATAGATAATGAAATGTCTATAAACAACCAAACTCAGAGAACATCAAGGACTGCACAAGTCTGCTGAAATTAGTCATTTTTTTCATCTCTTGTGGTTATCACATTTCTTTGTTATGATTATCTGATCAAACACAAACTCACTCAACTCTTGTGTTCTCCTGCATCCTACCTGCAGAAGATCCTTTCTGGTCTTGAGATCCTGCCTATTCTTGAGATCACAAAGATGGCTCTGCTTTTGGAGTCCTTGGTGGTCTCTGAGCTTAGTTGTTTGTTTGCAAATGAAAATTACATCTCCACGAACATTGGCAGGGCAACCTACTGTATGTAAACAGACATCAAACACCAAACTCACTCACATTGCAGATGCTACATTAATGGGGTAATGAAACTGTCAGGGTTCCCATGATTGCCCTAACTAAATCATGAGCCTTGGGCCAAGTTTCAAAAGAATTCAAAATATTTATTAGGAACAACATGCTGGCATTAACCTAAATATAGCCAACTCTGGCATATGTAATTTACAGTCACCTGTGACTCTGTTTCCCCCCTCCCCTCTGGGTGTATCATAAATCAGATTCTCCAATGAAGCACGTCCACGTGTCATCAATCACGTTCTACAATGAAGGATTTTCGAGGGCAGAAGATCCGATAGCCTAGTTGCAATCTTTTTAAGATAAGGGTGGAATTTACTTCTGGTTTGAAACTGCCATACTGCTCCTTCAGATTTCCCTCTCCCCTTGTTTATGGCAACTTGAAAACAGGTATAGGAATGTTTTACGAGTTGACAGAAATGTCTGCAAGGAAAGAACCAAGTTCAGAGAGCATCAAGGACTCCACAGTTCAAATCTGAGTTCTGTATATTCTCTTCCATTGAAACGATTTGGCACCAGTTGTGGTTATTTGGCACCAGTTGTGGTTATCACACTCTCTTGCTGTGGTTGCCTTCATCAAAAGCAAACCTCATGCAACCCTCCCCATTCCTCCTTTGTTCTTCTTCTGTTTCCTGTCTGTATAGCCTGGCCTCGTTTTTTGCTTATTCCTGAGATCGAAAAGGTGTCTCCGCTTTTTCCTGGTTTATAACACTAATTATTAGGTGTATTGGTTCTTTGCTGATATACTGTAATGACTATTGTTCATTGTTATTGTTAATATATTGTGATTTTGGGGGAGGGATAAATATTCTTTTTTTTTAAGCCTAATTAAGATTTGTAAGTTTCTGTTGCCTTTATGACTGAGATAGCTTATCATTTGCTTTAGCTTATATAGTCATTATAGTCAAATCAATTCAGATTAGAGCTGGAAGGGACCTTAGAGGTCTTCTAGTCTAACCTCTTGCTCAAGTAGGAGAGCGTATATTATTTCAGTCAAGTGGCTGTCCACCCTGTTTTTAAAAACCTCCAGTGATGAAGCACCCACAACTTCTGAAGGCAGGCTGTTCCACTGGTTAATTGTCCTCATTGTTAAGAAGTTTCTGCATAATTCCAGGTTGCTTCTCTCCTTGATTAGT